GGGATCCCGGGATCCCGGGATCCCACCCTGCGGGGGGATAGCGGCGGCAGTGCGGCGGGAGGAGATGAGCAGGGCTGGGGGCGGTCGGGCCGCGGCGGAAGGAGGAAGTGGCGCGGCCGCTCTGTTCCCTACAGGAACAGCCTCCGCTGCGGGTACGGGCAGCGCGTTTGCAGGGCGCCATCCTGCCCCGCGCCAGCCAGCGCATGGCCAAGGCCTGGACGTCTGCCCCCAGAGGGAGTCTATGAACCGGGGTTTTGTTTGTGCGCAGCGCCGAAGGCCAAATTCCAAACGTTTTGCTATGTCTGGGGTCAAAGTTGCAAGTACTCGAAGAGTTAGATCCCGCGGCCCAGGTTCCCAGAGATACTTAGGTCTCTAATTCCCGATTGATTAGCGTGAGCACCTAAGCAGCAAAGTCGGTGACTGTCTTACTTATTTAGGCATAGAGCTCAGATAAAAAAAATTCAGAACGCAGAACTTCCTTTCCAGTTAGTGTACGGTTATAATTTATAGCCCAGCTTACCGTGCTAAACCCTTGCAGACAGCAGTCTCTTGAAGGTGGTGATTAGTTGTAAACTACCTCAGTTTCTGGAGATGAAATACAGCATGTTTATAGTTATTTTATTTAAGTCTTAATGAGTTTGCATACAGTAACTTTTGCAGAATGCTTGTGTTAATACCATAAAAAGAGAGTTGAGTGGAGCAGCAGCATTTAAATTCACCTTAATACAGAATCAGTGACATAAAAGTAGCAGAATCTGTGAGGCCGATGGTTTCAGTCTGAATTGCCGTCTTTCCATGCCACCAGCCCCTGCAGAGACATAAGTATTCTTCTCTGGCCCCTGTCAGTAACATCCCACCGGGGAATTACTTCACCTGCCCCTTGTGTGCTGCAGTTTCTGTTTGCTGGTAAAGGATGGTGAAAGATGTGAGTGTGGACTCGTTTGGCACAGTATCATTTTGTCATGGTCATGTGCCATACTGCAGTTCTTCAGCAAGCTACAGACATGGCAAGGTGTGAGTCTGCTGAGCCCCGTGTTATCTCTCTGAGGCTCAGGGTCCCAGCGGGTTGGCAGACATATGTGGGGCGATCAGCCATTAAATTTGGCACATACGTTTGCACTGCCGCCTGGTTACTTGCTGACTACAGAAGGGTCGGGTTTCAGAAGATGTCAGGTCAGTCTCTAGAGAAGAGCTGTTCGTCACAGGCCATGTTACATGGAAAGGGGTAGCCAAGAGGTATGAGAAATAACTGCAGGCTGTTAGGAGCGGGGGTTAAAGGCCCCATTCTTCATTGCACTAAGGCCTTTGGTATATGGGACCAAATGGAGATAGAGACAGAATCTTAACACAGAGTTGAGAAAATGATGGGGGAAAAAAAAGGGAGCTAAGATTCAAGAAGAAATGGAAATATTTTTGCAACAGAAAGATTTTACATTAGACGAATGGGCTTTATGTAAATAAATTTGCAGCCAGGCTATGTATGCCTTAAATTAAAACACTTATATATACTCTGTGTATATTAATATGTGTTTAAAAATCAAACATTAGGGAACAGCTGATGGGTGAAGAATGTAAAGTTTGCCATGACACATTCTCTTTTGAAGAGGAGCATCATCCCCATGGTATTAAAATGTATACATGATACAACACTTGGAGTATCAGGAACATCATGAATGTTCAGGTATTGTAGAGACAGACATAAAGAGAATAGAGTAACTTGCACGTGCATGAAGTGGGATATTTTTGTTAAAGAGGAAATAACTGTTTGGGGAAATAACATAGGGGCTCGTGAACTGATGATCTAAGTCTGTAAAAAGATAGAGATTAGGGCTGTATGACTGTCTGCCCAACCAAGATTTTGGCAACAACTGTCATCTATTAAGGGAACATAGAGAAGCTACAAGAATAGGAAACACAATTGTTAATGGGAGGTCTCAGTTGCCCCCACATAGATTATGTCATGTTCCAACATGCAAGTTGCTCAAGTGCAAAAAAAGCAGACTTGCTAGGTGTACTCTGTACAGATAGTCTGTGGCTAACAACTCTGGACAAGGTACTGTCCAGCAAGAATAAAGTTCAGAATTTTACATTCAAAATCCCAGCCAACTCTGGAGTGACAGTGATGGCAATGTTCTTAAATTCAGTGTTGCTTTAGGAGAAGTAAAGCCAAGAGTTGTGGCAGTGTTTAATTTTCCAAAGTAAATCTTCATAAAGCTAAGAAAGAAATTAATCAAATGGTGAGAGGCAGCCAAAAGTGTAAAATAGTTGCAGTTGGCATGTAATTCTTTGAAGACAGTAATAGTAAAGGCTCAGGGCAATTGCATGGCTTTATGATCAGAAATACCAAAAAAGCTGATCATGCTGACAAGCAAAGGAGCTCAGTAAAAGTAAAAAGATGTCTTTCAAATGTTGAAGGTTTGTCTTCAGATGGTAAAGGTGGAAAAGAGCATAAGATCTGTGTTAAAGATGGTAAGGTAGGCCAAAAAGAGTCATGGAACAAGCTGCTGAAGACATGAAAACAATTAGAAAATGCTCTTTGAAGTGCATCAAAACCAGGAAGCCTGCTGATAAGTGATCTGTGTGTAAAAGGAGTGCCCAAGGAAGATAAAGTCATAGCAGAAGAGTGAAAAAATTCTTTGAGCCTTGCTTCAGCGAGGAAGAGTTTTAAGGTGATTCCCTTGCAGGAGGCTTTTTCTTTTTTTAAGGAATGAGCATGTTGGAGAATTTTTCCTGAAGGGAAGTGTCTGTAAGAGAGGGTATCAGATAAACCATTGAGAAGGATGAAGTAGAAGGCAGGAGGTGATACTTGTTGAAGAGTTTTGGAGAAACTTAAAATAGGAAGTTGCTAGTACATTGCCTGTTGTGTGTAACTCGTTGCGTAGGCCTGCCTTAGTGCTTCAGGAATAGAAGGTGACAAATGAGCTGTCATTTTTTCAGGGTTTCTGGGGAGACTGACAACTCAAGGATGGGCATTTTTGTTTGCTTTTTTGTTCGCCAGGGATTAGTGAATGGTACTAGTGAACATGGGTATAAATGTGATACGTTGACGAAGACTAGGCGACTAGGCTGGACTTCTGTTGCCAAGGAGTTGTGCATCATGACTCTTCTAGCATTCTCTAAAGGAATTGCTGAGCTGTTGTCTGGTTGATACAGTCCTTATTAAAGCAGGGCCAGTTTCAGGATGGGATCAGTTTGCTCCGAGGTGTACAGTCTTGATCATTTTGCTCAGTGAAAGGAGGTTACCAGTTGTACCCCTCCTCCCAAATCTGCCCAGGGTCTATGCTGTATAAGGGTTGGAAGAAGGGATAGGTGGTAGTGATTTAACAAGTTTGCTGGATGTATTAATTCATTCAGAGCATGAAAATCCCAAAGGCTGAACAACAAAGCCTGCAGAAGAATCTTATATTGTAAGTCCAGATGTACATTTGCAAATGAAGTTCAATACAGGCCAATGTAAGTGTAACGTGCATGGAAAGGAATGCAGTCTTAACTTTCTGTTCACAAGGATGAAATCTGAACTGATTTTTTACTCAATAATCCAATGAAAAAATTAGCTCTGTGCCAAGATGTGGCTAAGAAAGGAGAGGGCATGTTAGAAATTATTAGGAAGGAGTAAAAATAGAAATAGAAAACACCATTGTGCCATTACAAGTCCATGGTGCTCCCTTCTCCTGATTCAGGATTTAGTGAAAGTTGCTAAGCTGCAGAGAAGGGTGTCAAAGATGATCAAGCATATGAAGGTGCTTTTGTGAAAGAGTAAGTAGCTTGGAAAAGAAGTGACTGAAGAAGTTGTGGGGATATTCTTTAAAATCATTAGTGTTGTGAAGATAGTGAGTAGGTAAGATAAATGAGACCCAAATAAAATGTTGAGACGTAGCTTCAAAACAACAGATGATTATACAATACATAAATTGTGGTGCTCATGGCCACTGTGTGTATGTCAGGAGTTTACTTGTGTTCATGAGTGATTAGGCAGTCTGTGGGAGAGAAACTTGCTGTGCAGCTTAGAAGTCAGAACAGTTCAGTATCAAATTTTGGGCACTGATTGCCCACAAAGAATTACTGCAGGTGCCGATCAAGAATTATTGCTGAAAACTGGTAATAGAAACTTCCACTGAGAAGCATAAGCTATGGTCCATTTGCAGATAACACAGAGAAGCAGGACCACCTATTGCCATTTGATATGTGAATCTTGTGGTATAAGATCTTATGAAATTTCCAGGGAAAAAAAATAAAACATCTATGATGATCCTGTTTAATCTGTGCTTGTTGCCCCTGCACTTGTTAACCTGACAGCAGTTACAGTAAGGTTAAGTACATCCTGTGTACATTTAA